CTCGTGAACCGGGCGTGATGCCTACCGTCACGGTGATCCGGATCATTTGAATGGGGCATGGTTTTCCAGGAGGTGGTGATGTTCCTGAACAACAGTTTGCACGACAAATTCTGTCCCTTCCCTCCCATGCACTGCTCTCGTGGAAGTGCCGTTTGCGTCTCGTTACTTTGAGGAGATTGCTGGGGAGATTCATCTAGAAGAAGCGTAAACGTGTGGTGGCAATGATAGCAAATGAATATTCAGGGACAGTCCCTGGCCTTCTGTGACTGAGCAATTTTAATGTATTCATCTGAGAGCTGCGCAGTACTTTTCTGTGGATGGTAAATTTGCTGAAAAATGCAGTTTTAGAATAGCCGCATCTATTTGCCATCTGAAGTGAAATTTGTTAACTGTAGCTATAAGTGGGAAAGGACATGGTGAAACCAGCTTCCAGGAGTGACAGAGGACCTGTTTCTGCCTTCCCCTCAGCCAGGGTGCAGGGACCCCATTGCATCCAGCGGTGTGCTCAAGTTCCCCTTACTGCGAAAGGAAGTTTGAACCTGCATCTCCCACCTCCCTGAGGATGTCCCAAATTATGGGGCAGGGGGGGAATAGTCCAAAAGCCTGCTGCTGGTCTTATTCTACCTTCTGTAAGCAATTAGGGTTATTAGAACAGGGTTTGGATACCGAGGCTCTGAGCTCCTGGGTGGGTATTGAAAGTATTAAGCTAGGGATTTTTGGTTGTTTAGCCTCAGTGACTGTGTCCTGATGGAAATGGAACAAGTTTGATAGGTCGGACCCAATGCCTGTTAATCTGACAGGTTGTCTTGCTGCTCCTTAAGAAGAGAGGATGGTAAAGCCTGTTTGGGAGAACACTTGAGTTAAAAGTCTGATAGTAACGGAGTGAGAGAGCCCACGTGAGGAGGTACAGCCAGACAAGGAATTCCTGCGAGGGCACCATGGTCTCGGCTGTCCACCTATATTCAGCCATGTCTTGGCTATTTCTACGGAAAATAAAGCCAAATGCACTAAATTATGAAATTATTTTTGTTGTTTTGTTTTCTATGCTCAGGTTGAATTGATTTCTTGCTTGGAAGGCAGTGGCTTTGTCTATGTTAGCAAATAGCACCATGCGGTAGGAGCAGATCTGCAGAACAAAACAGTACCAAAGACCCAGGCAGATTTCAGGGGGTTTGCTTCAAAATAGCTTTATTCTAATCCCACTTGAAGGAAATTTTGAAAGAAACTTGAAAACGAATCAGGAGACCAAATATTGCATGTTGAAAATGTCAACAAAACCTTTCAACTTATTAGGAATATTTCAAGTTTTCTGCCAAAACAAAGACTTCAAAAAACCTGGCACATGTCCATGAGACATTTCAATGCTCTTGAAGCTGTATTTTTTTGTTGGCAATTCTTTCAGCTGGAATTTTTTCTGGTGCTTCTTGAGGTCATCTGGCATGCCACTTAAACCTGCGTATCTTGCTGTGTGTGTGATTCTTGCTGTTGTTTCAGAGAAGACTATATACAGAATTGATCTGGTCATAACCCTTTAAAAAAAGGCATCCCTTTACCTATCTCTGCCTGCACCAGAAAAAGGAAAAAAAAAAAAATAATCCAGTGCTGCTGCCTCAAGTTTTTTGTTCTGACTTCTCTGCTGCACAACTGAAATCGGTCATGACAGATTTGCCTTAGCTGCAGGGAACTGAGAGAGAGGAGGCAGCAACATGGGCGAGATGGGCACTTCGGAGCTGAGAAAAAAATCAGGGATGGCATGTGGGAGAGCAAACCAACTGCAATGCAAGGAATGCGTGTGAGGCCTGTGCAAAGTGGCTTTTAGTGTAGTAAACTTTGCCTGCATGCTGAAGTCTATAGATACTGTCATGTGGTAAAGGTGGGGAGGACTCTGGAGACTATGTGGACTCTGAAAAGCAAGCAGAATATCGAGGGTAAATCACAGGGACTTCCTCATGCAAAGGTAGCCTCCGATGGAGTCAACACCCCAGGACAGCAAGTGTTCCTGCTACTTAGCAAGTCTGTGGTTTAGGTGTTGGATTTTACCTGTGGCTCTGGCTGACCTCCATCCCAGTCACATCCAATGATACTTATTCGGGATACTTTAATATTTTACCGAAATGTGATTTGGCTAGTGTCAGATGTCAGGACAGGTCAAACATCAGTCCAGGTTTTGGTGTGTGTGTGTGGCCTAGGATTTCCTGCCAGATGTCTCGTTCCTCTTGGCATATCCGAAAGCATATGGCAGGGAAAGTTTATCATCTTGACAGGATACTGGGTTTGGAGTAGTATCTAAATCTAACATCAGGGATAAAGTAGATATCAGCTATTGGCAATTTAACGCTGTAACCTGATGTAGTTTTTATATCAAGAGATGAGAAGACTATCATAGTATAGAAATAATCTGTACGTGTACAGTGCCCTCCTCATAGTTGCCAATGAGTCTCTCCTTTAACTTGCATGCTACAGATACCAGCTACTTTTAAACCTACTTAGTGTGTAAATCATGTCATCTTAAACATCAGCTCTGAATATTGTTTGGTGCATGTTGCTGAATTTTTGTAGTGCCACTTATCCTAAAGAGTTCATTGATTTCTGTTTCATTGTTTGTAACAAAATATGTTCTTGGAGCTTTCCATCAGTTCTAGAATGAGAATTAACTACTACGGTAGCACAACCTAAAAATCACTATATAAGCATAACAAAAACAATTCTTGCAAGTCTTACAAGTTTTATAAGTCCGAAGTTTCTATTTAAACATTTCTTGGTATTGCTCGTTCAGCATGTAACTCGGATTCTTCTTTAGTGTGCCTTTAAGAAATGAGAACAACACGGACTTTGGTATTTCTTTGAAAGATTCCTGTGCCTCAAAAAATAAGGTTTGGACAAAAAGAAAAATGCTCTGAAAATGGTTGATTTTCAGGAAAACTGTCAGTGTTCATTCAGGGTTTTTTTGAAAGGATGGAATCAGAAACGTTTTGGTTTCTGGGGTTAGCAGGTTACCAGATAGTCTTCAGCTGTCTGTTCAGGTTTCTGTTTTTAGAAGAGAGGCAGTGTCAGACGGTCAGAAGTTTGTCTGGACTTTCTCTGGACTTGAGGAAGGCGTGCAGGTAATTGTAAATATGTGTATGAAGAGCGGCTTTTGGCTGGGTTTTGAGTGGACTGGGAAGACCTATGTGTGACCGACTGGTTTTTCTCTGTTGCTTTACAGGTTCCAGAATCTTCTGTGGTCTCGAAAAGCATTTGTGGACAGTGTGAAGGTTTACAACCGCAGCTACATCTACATGCCAGCCTTCTCAATGAAGACGGGGACAGGACCCTCCCTACGTGTCTACTACACCCTGGAGGACTTCGGTGCCAAGCAGGCGGTCCTTTTCGCCAACCCCAATTTCCTGCGTGACATTGGCAAGTTCTGGAAGGGCAAAGGTATCCATGCCAAGCGGCTTTCCACGGGACTTTTCCTAGTCAGTGCTGCCCTTGGTCTGTGTGAAGAAGTAACAATTTATGGCTTCTGGCCGTTCTCTGTGGACCTGCACAGGAAGTTTATTAGCCATCATTACTATGACAATGTTTTGCCCGACTCCGGATTCCACGCCATGCCGGAGGAATTTCTACAGCTCTGGTTTCTTCATAAAAGTGGTGTACTGAGAATGCAGCTAGAACCATGTGAGGACCCTTTAATCTAGTCTTCTGCCTGAGGATCGCAGGAGTCTGTTTGGGAGATCCAATAGTTTTTAATTGCCACGCTCTCCAACAGAGAGTTCTGTTTTCTGTTGATTCCTTTTAAAGGGAAAATAATTGTGGATCTGCATGGACCATAAAAATGCTACTTGAAGGCCAAATGGAATACGTCCTTAATGTATAGTGCTTTATGGAACTGGGCTGGGGGAAAGCGAATCTCTCCATCGAGTCCATTCAACAGCATTGTGAAAATAATGTCAGAAGCAGCACAGCTGAACTTTCCAGGGGACATTTTTAAATGACCGATGTAAAAAAGGGCATTAAGGCTCAGAGAGACACAGGGCCACCCACAAGCTTTTGCTGACAGTGCCAAATATGACTGTCTGTTCAAAAATCCATTTCATTCCAGATTGGCACCTCATACAACTTTCCTTTTTCCTTTTTTTTTTTTTCCCCCCCTCTGTGTGTGAGGGGTTGTGTGTGTAGGAGAGCATGTGTGTGTTCTTGACTTTCTTTGTTTCTTTCCTTTTTCCTTTTTTTTCTTTTCCTTTTTTTTTTTTTTCCCCAATGGAAGGAAAAGGAAAGGCTTAAAAGTCCCAGGAGCTGAGTACCACCAACTCCTCCAAAGACTTTTGGGAGAGTGAAGGGTGCTAAGAATCTGGTTAGAAGAATGTCCTAGTAATACCCTGCTACTGAAAATGGGTGGACCTACTTGCCGTAGGTTTTATCAGGATAGTTAGGTCATTACACTTATAGCTATGTTAATGCTATACTGTGGGCAAGAGCTGGTTAAGGGAAATCGGTCTGAAAATAAAACTTGTGTTACAAAACCAGTAGTGAAGTGCAGCCTGGTTTTAGTTGACCTGCTGCAAAATTTCCACAGTGACTTTTGTAGCAGGGATGGTTCCTGACCTGTTTTGCTGTCCAGCCTTGGGGATTAATTCTGTATTCATTTGGACTCCAGATGTTCATTGACTGTCAAGGGGATTTGAGGTGTTCAGTGGAATGCAGAATGAAGTTCTTCATTCGCTTATAGCAGAAAAACTGCAGAAATGAATGTGTCATTTAAAATGAGTTGAAGCTTCGAAAATCCTTTCTCTTCATGTGACTAGCTCCTCTGTTTGGATTGTAACGTTAGCCTTAAAGACTTGTACTTTTCTTGTAAGATTGTCTCTGGTTAAAGATAGTCTGAAAAATAAAACAGCCTTTGGGTGCACTGAAAAACTGCGGAGCCAGCAAGAAAAAAAAAAAAAAAAAGGAAAGTGGCAGGCCCTTATGTAAGGCAGCTTCTCTCCTTGCAGTGGGTGAATTATGTCAGTGTGTACGTTGCACGCTGCTGCTCCGGCCAGCGCAGCGCCTGAAGGACTGTTTTATTTTGGGTTATGACTTGGGCAGCAGATGGTCCTATCGCCATGTAAATGAGAAATCTTTTTGTTTGTTTGCTTTGGTTTAGCACTGTAGGACAAGAGGGAGGATACCAGCTCAGCCCACCCTGCAATTTCAGCTGCAAGATGTTATCACCATTAACTTTAAAATCCAGACCAGTGTTCTCTTTCTTAGCCTTCCATCATTAGTAGCTGAAATTTTAGTCAAAGTGTTGAAACAACAAAACTGTCATCAGGTTTCCACAACAATTCCTGTGCTACCTGTTTTATTTCTAAAGTGCTAGTATTTGGGGGGATGTGTCCTATCATATGCTGACAATGTCTCTCTTTGTAGACTACCAGCTGCAAGTTATATAGTTATAATTAAAAAAAAAAAGGGGGGGGGCAAAATCCATGGCTGCTCTTTAAATATGAATAATTCAACTACCTATGTAGGACACTGGGGGGAAAAAAAAAATCATGTTTTGCTTTTTAAACCCATGTTTCATAATAAAATATTCTTTCTAAATATGGATATTCCAAGCATAAAGTGGGCACTGTTCCATAGGATTACAGGGCAGTGCTAAACTGTAACGTGGAGATTTGGATTAAATGGTGTTCTAGAGATTGTTCTGATAAAATCTGAATGTGCTTCTATAACCCATTTTATCTTTGTCCATATTTTTGTTAAAAGTACAGTCAACACACTGATGGAATGTCACTTGATAATTCGTTCCCTCTCATTATGTTTGTTTTATCTATGATGTGGGTACTCGGTGAGGAAGGATTTGAAAGTAAAATATTTTCTTCACTGCTTGTTACGGCAGAATTTTACTGAGCTGCCTTTCTTGAAGAAGAGGTGCCTGTATGGTCTTCAGTGTACGCATAAAGTTTTGCACTTTTTAGTGCTTTAAAGATGACATTATCTGTGAGAACAAGGGTGGGGGGGAATGAGAAGAGTAGGGGGCAACTGCCTTTTTGGAGGTCATTTTTTTGTGTTTTTACTGATACTTGGGAGTTAGTTCTGAAGCTCTCCGACAGCTCTCCAACCTTTTGGTAATCCTTTTTTCCACGTCTTGGGAAAATAATCAGTTAAAAGAACAAGAGAAAAACATGTATTTTTGTAGGAAGGCTCTGTGCAGTGTTTCAAAATGTCTGGCTTGTTCATGTTCAACCTGTGCCCTGGGTATCTCGAGATGTTGTATTCCCCACCTCTGTAAGACTGAGGCAGACTGAACTTGTAGCTTGTGGTCTTTGAGAGTCCCTTCTGATGTCTGCAGTCCTGATGTTTGCAAGGAGATAGCTTCCAAAAAGTTATGGGGGTAGGAGAGACCCAGGCTGTGTGTGATGTGTGACTGGTGTTGGAGAAATTGATAATTCTGGCTCTATTCACATTTATGTATAGTGAATATAACTGCATCTTACAAAGACAACCACATTTGATGGGGAAGTAAAGGCTTCGAGGATACATAATTTTCTATAACTTCCAGAAAACTGGCAGCTGAGAAAAGAAGAGAAACGAAAATAAATGCCCCTTTTGATTGAGCAAAATCTGGTTTAGCTGAATGACTTGTCAGTCCATCCAAACACTGGCCAGCGATCAGCCTTTTGCCCAGCAAGTAAAAAGGGATGCAGGAGGGTACTGCGAGTATTTTGTGGCAAGAGCAGTCAGGAAAAAAAAATAAAAGAAAAGCAGCTGGGAAGGTGAGAGTGGCAGCTGCCCAACAAGAAATGTTGGAGTAAATATGCTCCGTCCATGCTGCTGCTCAGCGTGAGGCTTGCCTTGTCTAAATCTAGGAGGCGGGGGCCCCCCAGGAAGCATACATAGGATCATTGATGTGAAAAACAGCATTGCATGCAAGGGACTGAAGTTCTGTCCTTCTTCAGGAGGGCGGTGACACCATGGGATAGGACCATACTTCTGCCTGAAGACAGGCACAAGCAAATCCAGGAGGCTAACTCTAAGTGTTAACTATGAGAAATCAGCATCTCGCAGTCATGGCAAACTTTGGTCAGAGTGATTATATCCATCCCGCATTTACCGATTGATTGAATCCAGTCCACTGACAGCAGTGCCCTTAATCTAATCTCATTGCTTGTGTTGCTATATTTTCCTTGAAGTGAATTGAAATCTTAATGTTTATTTAATTAGTGAAATTCCCTACTCTAGCTTCTCTATTTCCGCTGCCAGTCCCTGAATTTCTCTGATAGTGTAGCTTAAGCTGCACAAGTCTTTGCCAGGTTGAAAGCTACTGCAATTCATCTTCAAGAAAAACTAGTGCTGACTGGCCAAGGGATTTGTTAATGCTCCTAGTTATTAATTTTATCATAAAGGTGACAAGGTGCAGAAGTGCTGGGATCATTGCTCTGCATAGGAAGTATTGCCCCACGTTTATAAGTAGAATAAATTCCTTTACAAGAGCTGTGCATGGAAGATATTCAGTACTGAAATCACTCTAGAGATAATATTTTTGGGGGTGTATATGCCTTTGAGTAAATCAAGACCAATTTTTGAACTTGTGCCAAAACGATGTAAAACTCCTCCTTCCTCTTGATTATGAAGCCTTTGGAGCTCCTTCTAAAACAGACAAGCAAAAGAGAAACCAGCAAACTAAACTAAAATCGTAGAGAAGGGATGCATGTGCTCGTGAGAATAAAATAATTTATAATTTTGGCACAGACCTTGCTGTAATACTAAGGACTCTTATTCGTGAGTGTTGTATTTTTATATTTTTGCTGAAATGAGGATATCAAGTTTGGAGTGAACCAACTATGAAAGTCAAAGGTTCGAGCCTCTGTTAGAGCTCAACTTTTGTAGAAGATAAGAAATATTGGCTGTTTTGTCGACTTGACTACTTTCACCTTTTTTTTTTAGCTTCATCAAAATGGTGTCATAACACACACTGCTGCGTTTGTGCCTCTGGGGGAGCTGAAACTAAGCAAAGCATCTGCTTTTTTTAATGGAATGTCTGAACTGTGGTAGCTATGTAAAACCCTTCCCCTATGCATCTTCATGGAAACTGGTTTAGTATCTGGCTCACCCTTGCCTGTAATTAATAAGGAGAACACGAGTGAGGAAACTTTTGATCTAGAAGTGAGGGTAATGAAGGGTGTGAATGCTATCTCACCATTTGCTGCCTGCTTTGGTTCTTTTCTTCGGCTCAGTAGATTAGTAAGTGTTGGAAGAAGTCCAGGTTATATAAAGGACGCTTCCTGGTTATCTGAGGGACAGGCAGTTCTTGAAGGGTTGGATAATGCTGGAAAAAAAGGAAGATCAAATCAGTGGGGTAACAAATCTTGATAAAGATCCCCAGTTCTAAGCAACTGTAGGACATTTTCATCTGGCAATGACTGTGAAAAATGGACTACCTATGACCTGCCAATGGTTTTCTGCAGGACGGCAGCAAAGCAAAATGCTATGAGGAAGGGAAACGCTGATGAAACAGAAAGGGAAATACAACGGAACAAGGAATGATGATGATGAAAGATCTGTCTTTCCCTTCTCTTCTGCCACTCCCCCCAAAACATATATACAAAATGGCCTAACCAGCTATTTTCCTGATTCACCGTCTCCTTCATGAAATGGTGTGGTGGGATTTCCATTAGCTGATACTTCTGAGTAAACAACATTTATCAGGCCT